ACCGATTTTTTTTCCATGTTTGCTTGTTTATTACCGAGATACCACTTCCTGAAACGAGTAATAATTTTACGGTCTGCCCATTTATTTTTACACTGAGATATTTTCTTCTTTGACCCTCCTCATTTTCGTTTTTAGACAAAACTATGTTCGCCTTTGATTTTACATTTCTCTGTTTTGCCCGACAATGGGAACTTTTATGGCTTACATACCCATAATTAAAACATTTTTTATCCCTAAAAGAAACAATCCTTCTTTATATCCTGTCCTCCACACGAACTGTATATAATTTTTCTTTCTTTATTTTGTATCCCCTTCTGTTGTCTTACAGTTTGTACTCATGAAATGTTCTCCGCAATCCGTCTATTGTCCTTTTCTATGTTTATAATTCGCTGACATTCTTTCGTTACTTTTTGTAGCGTAATCTTTGGATCTTGTTCTATGATAGAGAGGGTTCTTGATCTAATTTTTTTTTTGGCAATTTCTTACTTTCTGTAAGCGTTGCACAAGTTTTTCCTTTTCTAACATTCCTTGTTAATAAGTATTAAAACAAAAATGAGGGAATAATAATAATAAGTGTGGTATTTTTTAGATCAAAATTATGGTTGAATTTACTTCTGTGTATGACTAGTGCATTTGATAAATTGTTATGTATAAAATCCCTTTTGTGTTCATAGATGCGTTTTTTAAATGGTTTTTGCCAGACTTTGAATTATGACTCTTTGTGTCCTCCTTTTGACTGACCTTTCAACTACCTGATGAACATTCTCAAATTTACAAGCCTTGATAAACCAATGACATCTCCACTTTTATATAAAGATGTAGGAAAAAATAAATCCTATATTGCCTTGGTAAGATCACTGAGAGGACAAAATACGTTGGCAGAGAATAGTTTTTACTCTTGTCTCTCTTCATTCATTTTGTTCTTCTAAATATACTCTATCAGAAAATATTTACATACATACATACATACACACACACACACACACACACACACAAAAGTAAAACTTTTTAACAATATATTTAGTCTCCTGAGAGACTCTATCAAAATATTGTCTTTTTGCAGATATATTTTATTTATTTATATCTGAATATATATTATCTTGATATTTGGTCAGATTTTGGGAAGTGGCTTCAGTCAATAATTTTTCAGCACCATGTTAAGGTCTTCAAGAGTGCAACTTACTGCTTGATGGACTGATCTCTGGTTAGCACAATAGATGGACACCATAAAAGAAATACAAAGATTCCCTCAAAAAGACTGTTGTTTCCTGAAGTGTCAGCCATCACAAAGGAATAATGTAGTTTGCTGATGAGCCTTCTTAGTGTTACAAGATTTTCCAGGTGGGTGCTCACTCCAAATTAATATGTAGTCGAGATACACCCTGCATGTTAAGTTATTTCCAGCTTAGTACCGATCATAATTTGTGTAACGTCTAGCAATATGACTTCTTTTTTTTTTGCTAATGGGACGTGCATTGCAGAGACATACTCTATCACATTGATCAGATGTAAATTGATGGATTGCTGAATCAATGATTTCCTGCACTTGCCCAACTCATTGCATGTTCTTGGAAGATCTTAGTACCTTCTTGAATTGTATACCTCCACTTGTTTTGATCATAAGCTGCAGTTTTCCACTCAGGATCCTCTATATGGCAGACTGCAAGAGACTCTTTTAAACTATCCAATGTTGGTAGTTCGATGAAAGGTGAACTTGAAGCAGGTAGAAACAGGGTCACACTCTTTTCCAGGCTGATAGTGAGGTCAAAAGCTTTGCAGGAACAGGAAAGATTTTTTGCATCAGAGCCTGCATTTCCTGTTCTGTTTGGGTGCTTAAGTCACAGTCATTGGCATACTGAAGATCTTAACTATGTGTTTAGAATGCCTGAGATTTAGAAGGGATGTATCAAATGTTGAATAGCTTATCAGTTGTACAATATTGAATACATATACCCCAGTAACAGTCCTTAAAGGCAAGGAGAACATGTTTATCTTCCTTGTCACTATTTCATACCTTGATAGATACTGAAGATAAAGCACCAATGTTAACAAATATATCCATATCATCATGAAATGACCGGATGATATCTAGGAAATGATGAAGACAGTGTCAATGACCTTCGTAAGATCTACAAAGGCTTGAGACAAGCCTGGTTTTTGTTCATATGACTCCTCTTCAATTTGTTGTGCTGGGAAAATCATATCCATTTTTCTATTAAACTGGAGTGTACATTATGATGCTGGCAGTATCGAATCCACTGGGTGAGCACTAAGAAAAATCTTCATTAGGATTTTATCTGTTGGCAAAACTAAGTCTATACAACAATAATGCACAAAAAACTTCCTTATAAATTTGCCTTTGTACAGTGGGTATCACAATAAACATCTCTTCAGTCCTTGGGAACTCTGCCTTCATGGCGGGCATTCAGGATGATTCAATGCGTTATATCAGCCAAGAGATCACCTCTATACATAAGGATTCCCACATAACGTACACCTGGGTATGACGTTAAACTGCATCTAACAGCAAGGCCTCTGATCAGGAGGTTTTGAGGAGTGTGGAACCACCTCTTAATTGCTGGTGTTCCCAGGTCCACCCTGACCCGGGATGGTAGCACCTGTTAGGGTCCCAGCTATGGGCAAATAGTGAACTCCCAGTTTTTTCCAGACCTTACCCACATCCTGGGTATGACGATAAACTACATCTGCGTCCTGGGTATGACGATAAACTACGTCCAACAGCAAGGCCTCTGATAATATTTTTGAAAAAATAATGTTGCCAGCTATACGTTTCTGGAAAAATAATGTTGCCAGCTATATGTTTCTGAAAAAATAATGTTGCCAGCTATACATTTAATAATACTATATATATATATATATATATATATATATAACTAAATTTGGCATTAAATGACCTACAGTGGTTGATATGCCATAAAAACCAACCAACCAACCACATAATGTACACTGGTATCACAATCACATCTCTTCAGTCCTTTGGAACCATCATGTCGGACATTCAGGATGATTCAATGCATAATATCAGCCAAGAGATCACCTCTATACATAAAAATTTCATTAAAGATGCAGTCCCTTCCAGTAGCCTTCCTCAACTTGCTTTTACTTCGTTTTTACTTTGTCTAAGGTAGGAGAGAATAATTCAGTTTCCATGATGGATCTTTGCTGAAGGTGGCTAAGGGCAGATTGGCCCCAACAGTGCTGCTAATTTTGAGCAGATCTAAAAAGTGTTGTTTCTGTCTCTTGATTTCAAACATGGTAGTAAAGAGCTTTGTGACATTGTTTGTTTTAAGAGGTTCTACTGAGGCCATTCTTGTGCTAAACGCCTACTTCATGAAGTTGCACAGCTCTTGACGATTACATACTTTGTTTGAATGGGTGTTATTAGGATATAGAATATTGTCTTACAAAAATGGAGATAATGAACCAAAGTGGAAAAGCTTGTACAAAGAATGCATTTCATCTCTTTCTATATTAGCTAACAGTGAAAAAAAAAACTGATTTACTTGGAGTGGGTGAATTTCCAATCCGGCAGATCTTGAAGGGAAAAAAAAAGAAGCAGCAAACGTTTTCTAGCCTTAGCATCTATTATGGTTATTTATTACCCCCTCCCTTGAATATTCCAACTCATTTTTCTTATACTCCCAGTTCATCTCTCATTTGGCCTTGATGACACTTGCCAGAAAAAGACAAAATGCATTGCTTGTACAAGCTTTTTTTCATTCATTATATATATATATATATATATATATATATATATATATATATATATATATAATTTTATATATATATATATATATATATATATAATACATTTTATATATATATATATATATATATTTATATATATATATATATATATATATATATATATATATATATATATATATATATATATATATATATATATATATATAATACATTTTATATATATATAGATACATGCACATACATATATATATATATATATAGTATATCTTCATTCAAACATGTTTCATTGAATAATATAGACATATCTATTCATTTTATACTGATTGTTTAATTGTCTAATCAGTTTCTTGATGAATTTTATTTTAAAATCAAGAAACTGATTAGACAACTGGAATAGATTGGTATAAAAATAAGCAAACACAATATATCTATATTATTCAAGGAAACCTGTTTGAAAGTAATCAGAAAACACTTCCTAATATTTCTGAAGCAGGCATATATAAAATAAATTGCCAAACCTGTTACTCACAATACATTGGAGAAACATGCAGAAATTTAAAAAAAATGCATCACTGAACACATGAGACCTCATAAAAAACAATTTAACAAATTCACTAGTCATACATAGAAATAAATTCAACCACAATTTTGATTTTATAAATGCTGCACTCATAAAAAAATAAAAATTCACTCAGAAGGAAAATCCTCGAGAGTGCTGCCATTGAATATTATCCAAATATTAATCTATGCCCAGGTTTTTTCCCAATATCATCTTTCCTAACAGAATCATTACTCTCCCAAGCAAACATACACAACAAATATATCAAGAAATCAAAAGAAAATGGTTGAATCCATCAACACAACAATACAAACAATATTTCCACATGTGAAAATATTCTCTTCAAGCAAGAAGTAATTGACATGATTTTTCAGTTGACAATATGAATATACAACAACATTCCTAAATTCTTCTAGTTGCTAACAACATTTTGTTTGTTGTTTATAGATACTTTATTTCAATAAATTCATTTCATTTTTTGCCTTGAAAAAGTCCACATTGGATGAAACACATCTGCTGAAACTACAGTTTTCCTATTGTCTTTTTTCCTTTATATATACATACACACACACACATATTTCACAATGAGCAGATTGATTCCCAGTTTTTGCTGCATTTACACAAATCTAGTGTCAGTCTATCTTCTAACATCTGCTGTAACAAAGTTTGCTAAAAAAAACAAAAAAGTTCAGTTGTTTTTTTTTCTTTTCAGGTTTTCTGACTGGCACATTACAGACTCATGCCAGGAAATACAATTTGCCAATTGATCACCTCAGTTTCCAGTATGCCATTATTCCAGAATATTACCAACAGTTATCTTCTCCAGATTCAACAGAAGAGACTGTTGAGTATTCTGTAAGTATTCTTTACCTTTTTGACACATAAAAAGAGAACCCTACATTATTTCATCAAATTTGCTTCGATTCAGAATGGTGTCTGTTAGATTTTAAAAAGGAAAAAAAATTCTTTCTCTAATACTCATTCTTCTGGAATGATAAATACGTCAACGGAAAACAATTTCTGAAAAGTATCATCATCTCAGCTGAAAAATTGTCAGAAAATATGGCAAACATTTTCATCTTCATTATTTCAGGTATTAACAAACTAGCCTTGATTTAAAAAAAAACAAAAAAACTGCAGTCATAACATTAGTTTGGGTTCTCTTAACTCATAGGGTAATTAATTCAAATTTGCCCAATGAATATTTATTGATCAAATTATAATATTCCAATGATTATAAGCAATTCTTAAGCATTCAGTAAAAGGAAAAACATTTTTGAGATTTAGTCAGAAAAGTATTTAGAAATTAACCAAAACTGTAGAGATGAAAAAGGCGATTATCTCCCTTTGGTTGAGATGAAGCAATGTGTGACAGCTGCTGAATGACATCAGTGGTAAGTCTTTAGTTAGCCTCCTGGTATTAAGATGAGCATGTTGCTTTTTTAACATGGGGAAAAAACAAGTCCTCTGCTTGGACCAGCATACAAACCCATCATGCCATTTTCCTGTTGGGAAATATGTCCTCACCAAAGCCCTAGAAGATAGATCTGTCTTGTTTGAATTATAGAAACTATATCTGGCTTGCAATCTTCTTGTTGGGAAATAGCCATGACTCTCTGTTTTCCATTGGGGAAATAAGTCCTCACCAGAGACATAGAAGATAAATCTGGTCTGCTTCAGACTCCTATTGGGAAATATAAATATGGCTTTTCCAGAAACCTAGAAGAATCTTCCAGCAGCTCAAATAGCCATTGGAAATATACCAAATAAAACCTATATCTTTTTGTCATTTTCACACTGTTGTTGTATACATGTGTAAATAAATGTTGTTGTTTATCATTACTATGTCTACTGACTGCATGAGTAAATTCATATTAAGATTGTGTTCATCTTATCTAGTTTTTGCATGTCCACATGTCGAGAGCGTCTCTCCTGACTGAGAAAAACACTGGTGTTATATAGCTCTCCCAAACTCATGCTAACTATTGGCTAATACCTGCCCAGTATTGTTCATGTGCAAATAGTCAGCACCACCTACTGTAAGTATAATGTCTTCTCTCAACACCCCAATGTGGGAGGGGATGCAACTCCAGCTGCTTACAGCACCACATACAACCAACTCTGAGTCTTTTATCAGACCGACCCAATGCTCTGTTACAAGGATGCTATTGGACATAAAATGAGGCGTCGCTTTTTATTGTTATTAAATAATAAACTACTCACTGCAGAATTACTGTATTAATATTGTAATTGGAAAATATATTCATGTGTGAGAACAATAATTGTAAAGACTTAATAAAATGTGCCCTCATTTGTTATTGACTTGGCAAACCTGTTTCTTTATATAATTGGTAGGAGCTGGTTTTATAGTAACAATTACAGTTTGTAACTGTTCAGACTAAGACTATAATTTCTTTTTTATCATTAATTTCCAGACCAGAAAAATATTTGTTTACTTTCAGAAACTAACAATTTTTCTCTCAAAATATCTGTTCTACTTTTCCTTGGAAATTTATCAGGAACAGATGGAATCAATTTTGTTTTTCTTTTTGGTACTTATTGTATTATCCTGTTACTGTAATTTAAATCAATTCACCCAAGCAAGGCGATAATGCCACTAAGATTCAAGGAGCTACTGGGAGTAAAAGAGAATGAAAAGATTTTAGAAGGAAACTGAAACCCAATCCTAAACAGGAAACTAAGACTAAACCTCTACTCCTGTTCAACAGACTTGGGAGGATCGTGAACCAGACAATTGGTGAATATCTACTCTTATATATATTTATATATAGATATATATATATATATATATATATATATTTGTCACCCCAAGCAAGCCAGTTCAGCCACCACTATCATGCAAGGGGTTACAGCGTGTGGAGGAATTAGGAACAGAAACATTAGTAATGAGTAGAAAGAGAAAAGAGCAATCAGGAGGACAGTAGATAACAATTAACATTGCATTTAAATTGCAGATTAAAGTTGGCTGGAAAGCATGCAGCTGGAAGGGAATTCCACAAGTGAGAAGTGTGGGAAAAGAAACTGTTAGTGTAGAAGTTATGCCTACATCTAGCTAGCTCAACTGTAAATTGATGTAATCTCTTCAATATTCTAGTATTGCACTCAAATTAATACAGTCTAAATAACATAGAGACCATGGAAGAGGTTATATGCATATCATGCAACAGAGAATCACTTCTAAGTGAGAAGTTAGGGCAGGGATACTCAGATGAGTCAAGAGTAGCGTTTGAGGAGAATTTTACAGGCAAAGCATTCAGCTTTATCAGCAGAGAATGTTAACATCACAAATCGATTGAAGTGAGGGAGAATAGAGACTTTGCACTTATTTAGTACCCTATTACAGATGTGCCAGTAATCACAAGAGCTAAAGTTTTTAGAGGCTGTGTGGTACCTCATTGTCTCAGCAAACAGAGACTTGCTTACATTTGTTATGAGCAGTAGCAAATAGCCTATTTGCTACTGCTTAATGACAAGTGCTGTCTTGCTGGTATAGCCAGAAATAGTGGTTCTTCTGTACTATGGCAGCCGAGCATACTGGTTTGAACCATGGAGAGGATTGTCATTTCATCTGGTATTTTCAAGAAGGGATGAAAGTATTCATGCTGGTTTTGACCCAAGAAGAAACCTCAGTGGTGCAATATTCAGTTGGGACGTTGTGATATCAATCCAAGGGGCATCATGAAGTAGATCCCGGAATGAGTCCCGCTGGTAACAGAAAAAGGTCTTATGGATAGGGGGTTCCTGTTTAACAGATGCTTCGAAGGAGATATCAGCAGCTACCACAGAGTAGTCTGAGTTAGCAAGTGGGCAGTATTGTGAAGCTTGGCAAGAGCAGGGAGAGGTGGTAAGAAATAGATCCAGTAGAGAAGCCTATTGCTTGGTTTGGCTTGGGAAACATGTAGGGAAGTCCATGATTTGAGTAAGGGATTGGCAATGGAAAAATTTAATGTCTATATACTGGCAACATCAGTACCTTTTAGAATGTTTCAGCCACGTGTCATGGTGAGCATTAAAGTCACTGAAAAGAAATTTGCAGATGGTTGGGTGGAAAGGGCCTTTTCTATGGTTGTCAGCTATTGCATCTAATATACTGCAGTCTTGGGAAGAGGGGGGGGGCAATAAAGGAAAAAGAGACAGAGTTTAGTAGCAAAAGATGGAAACACATGAAAGAGTAGTTGGTGAGCCTCAAGAGACAGTTCCTTGGCCATTGGAAGATTATTCCAAGGGATGAGCCTCAACTCTCATTCAATAGTCATGAAAGGAGTGTGGACCAGACTATAGGTGAGCCTATCTAATCCAATTATCCTGTGGTAAAAAAAAAGCATGTGAAATACGAAAGAGTTTGTATTACGTTATGACTTAGTGTAAGTTCTGATGTCTACTAACAACTAAAAAATGGTATGGTAAGACTTAGTGCATTCTTGTTGCATCAATTCTTCGGCATTGATAAGCAACACAGTAAACACATTCAGAAGTTGGGGGAGGGGCTGAAGTAAGAAGTTTGATAATTAATAGCAAAATGGGGAGAACAAAATACATACAACAAATGAAGGTTAGGTGCAAACATCACATTCTAGAGTAGCAAACAACAAAAAATTAACAAATGAAATAAAATTCAAAGACTGACACAGACATTTAAACATCTACAACAAAAACAAAATGGCACAAGGTATTTACATACATAGGCTCTACAAATACTTTCTTCCAATCTTGAACTACAGACAAACTTATGATTGGTGTTTGGAGAAAAATTAAGCTAGCAGTTGAGCCTAACTTGACTCTGAGAGAATCTTACCATCTCATCATTACAGCATTAATTCTTAGCTGTTTCCCTTTGAGGATACATTCAGCATTCATGCAGTTGTTGGTTGAAATTTATAATATCCTTCTCTTAAAACAATTTTTCATGAAAATAGGTTCCTCAAGTCCAATACCTGTTTTTGTTCTTCTCAGTATTAATGGGAATTTCTAATCTTTTAGTGGGGAATGCCAATATCTTGATTATATCATTATCTTCTCTTCAAGTTAGGCTGACAGCCATATCATATATTCAACACTAGATTCTGAACTATTGATGATAATAATATTAGCCATTTCCTTATAAAGAAACATCTGGCATTCATTGACCAACTAGCTCTGCTGTTGGTTGATGATCTTCACCAAGACACATGGGCTTCACTCACTCAAACACATTTTTAGCCATTGATCTTAAAAACAGTTGTAAGTTGTTTAGATATTTCTGACCAATTTTGGTGCTATGCACACTATACATAAAAAAAAGTCTTGATCGGACAAGACTCTTTAAGAACATGACTCAACATTTCAGGTTACATTAACCTGAAATGTTGAGTCATGTTTTGGTTTTGTAATAATTTGCAGTGTTGAGTGAAACTACTTCTAGTGCAGCCTATTTTATGTTCAATTTCATTATCTCTTATACTAAATTTATAATTATAATTTAGAATTATTTAAAATTTATATTTTATAGCTGATCTATACACTGAGGTATTTGAAGCATTTGGTGTTTACTAATTTTCACATCCTTAACTTTTATGTTAGTTTGAAGGATATGTGGCATGACAGCTTTCATACTGATTTCAGATCATGGTTTCTATCTTGGAAAGGTTTATCTTGAGTCCTATTTTAAGGAACACTTGATTGTGGATACTAATTTTTTGTTCAAGATCATTCTTATCCCAACTTGAATATCTAATTTTATTGTCATTATAACCAACTGCAATCTATGTCTTGACAGATTATTCTGTATAGATGTATACTTTAACTGTCATATATATATATATATATATATATATATATATATATAATGTGTGTGT